CTTGTGGTTCCCCAAAATATCCTGAGGTTCTTTGCCTGCCAGAGAAGTGACCATCTTTACTCACCTGGTAAGGTTGCTGGGAACTATGCAAGCAAGGTATCAGGCCAATATTTCCAAGTGGCTTTACGTCATAAATTCAATCTTTGTTCCCTAGCTGTGTGTCATATCTGAGTCTGCATGTTTCTTTCAAATATGAGATTCCAGTCATAGCTTTGGTAATACAACCAGTGTTTCCAATTTTGTCTTGTTATTTGGACAACAGATTCTTATTGAACTTATACAAATAACTAAATTGCCATGAAAATAGGAATATTTGAATAACTCACTAAGAGTTTCTAAATTCTGGAGGGATCAGGCAGGGAGAAAAAGATAAATGTTTCAATTCTGCTTACAAAAGTATAATTTACCAAACTTCTATAAGTCATAGTTACCTTAAGAGAAAAGAGGAAAAGATTTTCTTAAGTCTGAAAAAGCAAAACATTAAAAATCAGCAATACTGCCAATCAAAAGTTGTAAAATTATATTCCTCCTCATCAGTTCATTTAGTCCCATGTAATGAACTATTGATTTTTTTAGCAGTTTCATGAAGTCATCAGTTTTTCATTAGAGTCCTGTAATTTCTTACCCAGTTCAGTTTTATTATCTGAAAGTTTATCAGAAAGCAGTATTCTAGAGTAAGTGTAGGAGTCTTTTCCATGAATCTCTCTGAAGATGAAATGTATTTGCAAAGGCAGAATTCAAATTATGACTGACAACCAGGACAGATCAGAATTTTAGGAATGTTATGTAATTTTAAAACACATATATCAATAACCTTTACCAACACCATTTCATAGGCCTCTATGAAACAATGGTTAGTCATCCATTTATCCATGGTGACAATTAAAGACTTTTATGCAAATGCAGAAAATTAAATAGCTGTAAAAACAAACATTAGCACCTATGATTAAAGACCTGTTAAAAACAATACAGGAAATTTATGTTGATAAAACATAAAATCTGTACCCTTGTGGTAGACCACTCAAAGAAAAATCTTGGGGCCAGCCTGCTGTTGTAGTGGTTAAGTTTGCATGCTGTACTTTGGTGGCCTGGGGTTCACAGATTCGGATCCCGGGTGCAGACCTACACACCATGCTGTAGGGCATCCCACATACAAAGTAGAGGAAGATTGGCATGGAGGTTAGCTCAGGGACCATCTTCCTCAGGCAAAAAAATAAAGAGGAAGATTGGCAATAGATGTTACCTGAGGGCCAATCTTTCTCACAAAAGAAAGAGAAAAAACTTCCATAATCCCTTTATTAAGAGTGGACTAAAAGTTTAAGAAAATTATCCTTATAAGAGAGGGAAAAAACAAATTCTAATTTTGTACCAGCTTACTTTTCATATCAAAATTCATTCGCTTCATTGATTCATTTTAATGTTAGCCAACTTGACCAAGTATAAAATTCTTTTCTCAGAGGTTTTCTTCCATAAACCTTCTACAACCTTTTTTTAATGAACAAAAATATCTTTATGTCTTATACTTTCTTTACTGAAAACATACATCCTACTTTCTGATAACTTTGAGGACATGCCTGTTTCAATCAAACCAACAAACTTAAAGAAGCTTTCATTTACCAAAGATTATTCCGTATCATGTTAATTTGAAAGACGTTTGGATTAGTTTCCATTGCATTAAGCCAACTAAATAGAGCTCTTAATTTTGGCCATAGCCATCCGGAGATAGAAAATATGTCACATGGTATGGGCTCAGATAACCCTGTTGACTTCCTTTAGCGTGTTTAACTAACACTGTCTGAAGGGCAGATTTTTATGTTGTTTTACAAAATCAATACTGGGAGAACATTTCCTCCAGTGAGACAGGATGTCTATCTCCACAATACAATTTATAATAAATCATGCAAAAGAGATATAACCACTTAATTCCACCAACTCTTATACCTCTAATCACAGCCTTCATCAGGACTCCATCAGCAAGTGTCAGTCTTATAATATTAGGTAGAGGAAGCATTCCCAGCCAGACATAATGTCCATTTCCAAAACAAGCTCAGGCAAAGTTGATATAACATCTTTACATAAAATTAGCTCAAATATTCCAACCTTTACAATCTTATCAACCCTAAACTTTTTCATTTTTCAGTTTAATTGTACCTGAGTCAGATTCTTAAGGCTAGTCATTATTTTTTTGTATTTCCTTTTTCATTTGCTTTTTTTTCTGCTTTATCTCCCCAACACCCCCCGCCCCCCATACATAGTTGTATATCTTAGTTGTGGGTCCTTCTGGTTGTGGCATGTGGGATGCTGCCTCAACATGACCTAACGAGCAGTGCCATGTCTGCACCCAGGATCCGAACCCTGGGCCGCCGCAGCAGAGTGCGAGAACTTAACCACTTGGCCACGGGGCCGGCCCCTCATTTGTTTTTTTTAATATGTACCAATAAAACAATTATGACAAGAGCTGTCTAAAAATTTTTCCAATTTAGAAGTTTTTCCAATTTAAAGGTCCTTAGTGAATATTGTGACCACATGACCTTACAAAAGAAAAAGTTTTTCTTTTTTCATGGACTCTTAGCTAAAAGTCATCCAATTTTGGAGAATGTAGCCCAGGGCTCTACGGATGGGGATTGAATCAGTGTTCCCATAGCTGACTCACACACAAGAAAAACACACCACTACAAAGACAAACTCTGACTCCTGCAAGAGGAAAACAAAAGATGAAGTCCAGCAATGCTTTAGCTCTCTTCCAAACTAGGGATCATCCTTTCCATCACACAAAATGCAAATGGAGAGACAGGAAATTCATGACCATGCATGTCATGACGACACACTGGCAAACACAAAACCAACTCCTTGAGGACAAAAACAGAAAGTGGAGTCAAACAATCCCCTAGATCTCTCCCAAAGGATGGGCTTCCCTTTCCAATCAGACAAAATGCAAAGGGAGAGAAGGAGAATTGATGACTGTGCAGATCATAGTGACTCACACAGCAAAAGCAAAACTGAAAGTACTCACATACAAGACTAACGCATCCACACAAGGACAAAACCCAACTCCCAAGAAATGCAAAACCAAAAGTAGACTGAAGTCCACTGCATGTCTCCACTCCAAGCCAGTCTTGGGCTGAGGGCAGCTGACACTAGCGGGAAGGGGAGGGTGGCAGGGGAAGTCCCCTGGGCAAAGATGCACAGGCAGCTACTGGGGGACAACTGACCACATGAACCCTCACAGGGGTGGTCCAGCCATGGGAACAAAACACCTGCCGACTTTGCCAAAATCGATACCAAGCTTCTTCATTGCAAATTTGTGTGCCTGATGTGCAGTAAGCCAATCGCTGAGAAATCATGCTTGGGATGGAGAACAGTTTATTCAAATTAACCCAAACCAGGTGAGAGGATAGTTCTCTCAAATCCGCCTTCACAAGAGAAGAAGCAGGGAGTTTTATGGACTAAAGGGCCTGGTAGGAGGAGTTTAGGAGAAACAAAGGGGTCACCTGTAACTTTCTCAAAGGCATTCTTTTTCTTCAGCAAAACAAGCTCAGAAATCCTTGTGACCATTCAATCACCTGACAGGTTAAACGAGAAAACAGCAAATTGACCAGATTAACATCTTTTCATAACAAGATCAAAGGTAATCTTGTTGAATATTTGCAGTGACCCTCAGGTACCGGCCTCAACAGTTCTGGAGGCTGGGAAGTCCAAGATCAAGGTGCCAGCGATTGAGTACTTAATGAGGACTCTGTTCCTGTCTTGCAGACACCCAACTTCTTGCTGTGTAGTCTCATGGTAGAGAGAGCGTGAGCTATCTGGTCAGCTCCTCTTAAAGGACACTGATCCTATCAGACAAGGAGCCCCCTCCTATGACCTCACTTAACCTTAATTACTTCCTTAAGGCAAATGCAGCTGGACTGCATGTTTGGGCTTCAACATACATTTTGGGGGACACAATTCAGGCCACGGACCTGCCTATTCCATAACTGGCTTCCAGGGGGTTCAGCAGCATTCTTCCTCCAACCCCCGTGTGGGCGATCCTCCAGGGAGCTTCAGGGACCCAGCTGCATTCGCAGGGAGTTCAACTGCTCACCCGGGCGGCTTCCTGCCCGGGTCCATGGGCTCTTCAGAGGGTGAGCTCTTGTTTGTCGGCTTTGGCTCGTGGCACCCAGCAATCTGTATCAGCCTCCCAATGGGCTACAGACTTAGCAACAAGTCTACCCCTCACCCTTGTGGGGAGCCCTTTCTCGAATTTATCCCTTCTTGTATTCTTTACTTCTTACTAGTTGATCCTGTTAACAGCTAGAAATTCCCTGTATTAAAATTTTCCTTTTCAAATTCCAGCCTGGTTTGTGTCTCATGATTGGACCCTGACACTTAAAGGGGGTCTCCTTTATCCTGCTCTCTCTTCACTACCAATGCCCCAGTTTTGAGCTAGTTAAGGTGAAGGAGATGTGAGGAAACATTGACAAGTGAGGCGGCGTTACATCTTCATTTAGGCTTGAAATAAGGTGATGAAGATAGAGTGCCGGGAAACTGCCTGAGGCATTTCGTGGATGGCACAGATAGAAATTGGTTAATAATTGGATTTGTAGGTGTTGCTGGGGAATGAGCAGAAGACCAAGGTGTGAGTTGCAGGAGCAGGATTCCACAGTGCACACCTTCCGTGGCTGTGCCTCCTGTCCCCAGACAGAGACCACTGAGGAATACAATTAAAGGGAGTCGGGCCTGGAGTCAGAGAAGGTGACAAGACATAACTGACAGAGACTGAGGAGGCCTGGACACAGTGAGACCAGGAAAAAGCACCAATGTAACCAGAGGGGCCTGGAGAGGGGAGCGGGGCTGATGAGGGGCGGGTCCTGCAGATGTCTGTCCTGTGTGATGCTGAGACTGTCTCCCCTGGACCCACACACACAGGCACAGGGTCAGCCTTCACCTCAGTGTCCACCCATCGCCCCCTGGGAACAAACGGGCAGTCCTTAGACCAAAGAATAGCACACGGTTTCAACAAATTCAATCTCTTAAGGATTTATTAGACACTAATTCTGTGACCCCCACTGGCTTCTGTGGCCATAGACCTCAATAACTGGGTGTCCCTGCCCTCAGGGTGCTCACAGCCCATCTCCTGAGAGCAGAGTGAAGAGGAAGCTCAGTACTTGTCAGGCAGGCCATGAGGTCTGAAGTGATTGGGGTCTTTGCCACTCCGGCCCCATTCATTGGCAGCCTGGTCGGCTCTCGAGTCCTCTGCTCCACGGCCGCTGCCTCCAAAACTGAAACGGTCTGTGAATCTCTGAAAATTCTCTCTGCCATCGCTGATGGAGGAGAACAGGCAGGAGATTAATCCGGGGCTGATGAGCAACAGCCCCACCCTCCCTGTGTCTCCTCTTTCCCAGGGATGGCTCTGAGAGGAGCCAAGGAGAGAGGGGCCCACACACTCAGCCTGCCCCGGCACAGCCCACCCAGCCTCACTGATCCCCTGATGCTGGGTGAACAGCATCCAGAGAGGAGGGTTGGGAATCACTCCTTGGAGCTCACTTTCTCTTTTGGGAGCAGGGGTCACATGTGTTCACCAGCCACACTCTGGCTCTGCTGGCACTGGGCATGGATGGAGAGGGTGGACAGGATGCACTCAAGGAGGAGACCATATCTCCCACAAGACCCCTCACCCGGGTCTGCCCCTCCTGATCCCCAAAGGCAGCCCAGCTCTGCGCACCCACCCCTGCACCCCCAGGCCCCAAGTGACCTGATGACTTTAGCAGCCCAGGCGCCCCCAGGGCCCCTCTGTGCAGCGTCATAGTTCCCGCGGGCGTGGAAGTATTTGTCTGCGCCTATGTAATTGGCTTCTCTCATGTCATGGTAAGCTCTTAGCATGTCCCAAGTCCCTGGAAAGGAAAGGACATGGCCAAAGGGACACAGGGTGAACAGAAAGACCGTGACATCCCTTAGAGAAGAATCAAGAATGCAGAATCGTCCACTGACTCCATTTCAGCCTGAGCTCATAGCACCTTGGATTCCATAGGATGAGGAGCACATTGCTAATCCCAGTTGGTGTCTCCAGGGCACTCTAATGAGAGTCAGTGAGGTGGGCACAGCCGTGTTGTTGGGTGGTCGGACCCTCGTGATGCTGTCTGTGTGCTCCATCTCCCTTGAGGTCCCCATCTTATGTTTAAGGTAGAGAAGGGAGGCATGGTTATGGAACAGGATTTCTCCACTTCAGCACTATTGAAACGGTGAGTCAGACACGTGTCTGTTGAGCAGGGCTGTCCTGAGCACTGGGAGACGTTGAGCACCGTCCCTGACCTCTACACCCTATAGCAGCAGCACGCTCCCCAGGTGACAACCAAAATGTTCCACACATTGCCAAATGTCCCAGAGCACAAGACTGCCCTTGGTCAAGAACCACTGCTACAGAAGGAAGGACATATGAGACTATACAGGGGACGTGGGTGGGTGAGGTGGTGCCATGGAAGACAGACTTGGAGAAGGCTGCAGACATATAGCACTTGTGTCCTGACACCTAAGAAAAATGAACTTGCAGACAGAATGCACGTAATTGTGACTCGAGTCCCTGGGAGCGCTAGGGGCCTAAATGGCACCCTGAAAACCTTCTCGATAGACTGTCCTGCTGACGTGGGTGCTGAGGAAAGCAGCGCTGGAGCAGTGGTTCTTTTCTCAGGCTCGGCTGCACTTTCTAACGACCGTGGGGTATTGGAAGTCTGATGGGATCACACCCCAGGTCAAAGCCTCACACTCTGGGGGTGGCACTGAGGCCTCAGTAGTTTTAAGGCTTCCAGGGGACTCCAGCCTGCCGCTGGTTGGTACGCCCTGAGCCCTAGGAAGTGGTACCCACACCGTCTACCTGGGAAGAGCTCTGACCTCATGCACACCTGTGTTCAGACCTCTGCTCTGCCACCTGCTGACTGGCAGACAGTCCCTGGGCAATGGACTCAGCTGCTCTAAGCCTCAGTTTCCCCCCTTGGAAGTGGGGGGCAGAGGCGTTTGGAGGTATTCTGCAGTTAATGTAGGTGACCAACTGCCACAGCTTTACCACAGCTGCCCCTGTTTGCCTAGAGCCATCCCAGTTAGCACTGAGTGAGTGTCGGAAAACCCCTCCGGCCAGAGCAAACCAGGATAGTTGATCCCCCTAATTGCATGAATGCACTCAGTTCCTAGTGGAGCCTTCACATATGTTATTATTCTTTTTTTATCAGTTAAAAGTCTAGAAAAGGGTAGGAAGCCGACTAAACCAGGGACAGCGTCACTGACAACAGGAAACATCAGCAAGAGCTGAGTGAAGGACTCTCTAAACTATCCAGTTAGGAAACAGAGAGAGAAAGGGAGGGAGGGAGGGAGGGAGAAGGGGCGGAGGGCAGAGGGAGGGCGCAGGAAAGAGAAGAAGAAAAGATGGAGAGCTTAATCAGTTTTATGCAACTTCGTCTGAGGAAATTTTATCCCGCTTCAGGACTTCTTTTGTGTCTTCCATTCAAACCTACCTTTCGGTGGGAACCATCATTGTTCTTTCTCTAGTCATTGATTGAAATAAATCCTGTTGTTTCTAATCCATTTGAGGAAAAGCTCCCCAAACCCCTGGCACATGCAGCACCTAGGACAACACAGCCTAGGACAGCAGCTCCACCCTTGAGAGTGCTCAGGGTGGATCCTAGTGGCCGTGGATGCCACCCCCTCCATCAGCCTTACCTCGAGCAGCCTCTCCAAGGAACGATAACAAGCCGCTGGCACCCAGGACCAAGGAGCAGAAGACGAGGCCTGTGAACAGCTTCATGGTGCTGCAATGAACGGAGAGAGTCAGGGAGACTCGGACAAGACGGGCACACACCCTCGGGCTTGTGTGTCAAAGGGAGCCTCGCTGGATTTCCCACTGTTCTCAGTAGACTCTTAGTGGATCATCGAGCAAACACTGCAGGAGGCTCTCACTCAGAGCCACAGCCCTCAGTTCTGAACCCATCACCCCTGAACCCAAGACTCTCCGGGGTCACCAGGGCGGCCTTGATGGAGGAGAGGGCAGTTAGGACCAAATTGTCCCGCCAGACAGCCCCCTATTACTAATGAAAAACCATGTCCCATTTGCACAGTGCCAGCCCAGACCTCCCACAGGACAAACCCAAAACACAATAATTGTTTTTGGAGGCAATAACACTCTTTCTGGGAAAGAGAAAGCAGAGTAAGTCTTTTAAACAGATCCCTCTTTGGAGTGGTCCCTCACCTGACTTCCGGTGAGCAGAGCTGCCGGTCCCTGCCTCTGGGGAGAGGTGGCTGGTATTTATAGTCAGGCTTCCTGGCTGGGGTCACAGGAGGGAGGAAAAGAAAACCTCAGTGCCTGGGTTAAAGTCCCTCCAGGTCACTTCCCCTAGAAAGCTGCAAAGGCACACTTACCGGACACCAGCGGTTTCTTCATGCACAGGTCATTTCCCGGATTGTGCAACCCTGAGGGAGCAAGGCAGGCTGCTGGGCCTTGGCGGCTGTCAGGCCCAGAGGATGGCTCTGCTGTCAGAGTTGTGGGGTCTGAGGGGGGCCATCTGGGGAAGGGGAGAGGAAGGCTGTGGAGCCCCAGGATGGTCCCCTGGGCTGCTGGAAGGTGTGGGGTTAGAGGACGGCTCCTCCCGCCAGGACTTTGCTCCACTGGGCACTTCCTCAGATGGTCCCTGCTGGTCCGGCAGCATATGTGTCAGAACTTCAGTTCCTCTCAGCTCCTGTCTAAAGCCCTGAGCTCAAAACTGACAAGCGGCCCACCCAGTCTCCTGGGTGCTCCTTCCACCGCTCTGCCTGCGTGGCTCAGCTTTCAGCTCCAAGGCTCAGAAAAGCGTGCTCGGCTGCTCTGCCAGAGAGGAAGTGCATCATCTAACCTGCGCCTGAGGTGGGGGCATTGGTGTGGGGACTTCCTTGTTCCCCCTCCGCCCCCAAATGCTGGAGACACCTCACAGTGGGAGTGAGAGTGTTTTGGTGCAAGGAACTAACGTGGAAACTCTATAAACCTGTACTAGGACAGAGGGAGGTAACGTCTGTAATGGGAAAATGGCGGCCCAACGGGAGACCTGCCAGGCTCCCAGTCAGGGGAACGTGGGGTGAGCCCTTTGTCACCTATATTTTCCAGGGTGGTCACTGTCTGCCCCATTGTCACTGTGAGTCAAAAACATCAGTAGGGTCAGCCCAGCGAGCTGAGTCCTTTATAGAAATGAGCTGAGCCCCCAACTCTTCAGCAAAAATATGCTGGTGCCTCTTCCTAACCAGAAACCTAGAAAGAGAATTTTGGAGGCTGTAGCTCAGCCCAGACAAGTTGACATCGCTCCAAGGTGTCTGAGGGCAGATCGTAGAGAAAGGCTGCTTCTCTGCCTGGAACCTAGTGACGTTCATTCTTCCTCCTTCCTTTTGCTGGAATTTTTTGGACTTGCCAGAAAGTACTACTCTTTTTGACTTTCAACTCTCCCTGTTTACTCGACTGTTCTCTTGTCATTATTTTCTAATATAAATAGATACAGAGTCTCAAACTCTCAGACTTCATTTGAAGAAGAAATCTGGCGAATGGGAGAAGATGTGCCAAGATGATCTTGCGACTCTGCAAAGATATCTTACATGTGTTTATGCTACTTGGGGCAAAAAATGTCAGTTACATCCATTCTAACATTATGACCAGGGTGACAAACCTCAGTGAAGACAGCCAAGATGGCTGCTTCTTTGGAGGTTAAAAGTACAGGGAATGCAAACAATTCTGAGGTCCAGTTGCCTGATCAGACCACTAAAAAAAAAAAAAAACCTCTTCCATGAAACAATTTACTTTAAATTAACAATAGAAGCCATGTCTGTTCATCCTCAGGTGCTCACCGAATCCTCCTGCACGCCAGCACTCCTGCACGGGCTGGGACATCCCTAGCCTTGTGGTGTTGAGTTGTATTGATCGGTCAATGGTGATGTGACGCAAATAGTGACACCCCTCATTATCAAAACTGAAAACATTCCTGACAATGTGTCGGGTGGCAATTATGTTTTGGGGTCAGGGGTAGCAAATTTTTGAATACCAATTTTTTATAATTGAAAAAATAATAATCCCTTCTTAGCCAATTTTCCCAAATGTTATCAGAACCACTGGAACAGCTCTTTAACAATCTACCAAGGAGATCCACACAATATAAAACAATTAAAGCACCGATTACCTAATTATCTAATAATTAATGAGCCCATTAGTGGGTGTTTTGTGTGCAATCCACCATAATACTCTTGAAAGTTGGACACAAATTACATTTTCTCTCTATACTGTAACCATTATGTACCACAAATCTTAAAAGTTAAAAATATCGCTAAAGATGATGAATGCAAATAATTTTCGCATAATAAAATATACAGGAATTTTGGTGACAGAATAAATGAATAGGTACATATATAAGATTTGTCTGTGTCCCAATTCCAGGAGTTGGTGACAGTCTTTTCTACTTGGCACTGGAAATTCTGCACACAGGTGGTAGTGAACAATGGTCTGAAGCTACAGATGATGGAGTTACGAAACACACACACATACGCACACTCGCAAAATGGATGTCTGGGTTGCCCTTACTTTCTATCACACAAGCCCTGATAATGTGAGACTGTGTTTACAGTTAAATTTTTGAGTGGATCGTAACGTTTATGTCTTGATCACTCACTAGCAACAGGCATCACTGTTGTGTGCATGATCTAAACCTAAGGGTGGCCTTAGGTAGTGACGTGGACAGGTCACCCCTACTAACAGGAGAGGCAGCAGAGAACCCGGGAATAAATGTAGGCAGCTCGGTGGATTTCACGGTGGGAGCCCGTGGAAGTCAATTTCTGACCGCTCCTCTTTTTCAGTGAAATAGGCAGGAAAGGCATCACCTGAGAGGAGGATGGAGGCAGAGGAGGTGTGGAGGGTCCAGGAGAGAAGTGCAAACGGTCACCTAGGAGAACGGCAGAGTGAACGAACTTGGAGAGTGTGGCAGGATTGCAAGGCACTGGAGGTTACAAATTTAAAGTGAGACTAGTTACCCTGCTTGTGTATTTTCCTCTGACCACATTCAGTTGCCAAGGTCCTGACTTGAAGTAGGTGGGAATTGGATATCACCACTCAATATATACTTGTTGAATTGCTGAGCGAATTAATACACACAAAGGTCAGAGAAGGATTCATTTAAAGATGAGGGAAGGTCATAGGCTAGAGGGAGAGAGTTCACAAAGAGAGAGTGACTGAGGGTGAAACTAGGGCAAAACACATACTCCAAGGTCCATGGGCCCACAGGACCCCTGGGAATGGGGTTGCCCTGAGGGTAGCAGGAGCAGGTCTTTCTCTGATAAAGGAATGAAAGGAGAGGTGATGAGGATGATGGATTTTGAGATGGAGGATAGAGAACTGAGGGAAACCAGGAGCACTGGTCCTTCACCTGTCACAGGACTCATCACTGTCTACTGTTGGCATTTCTGAGTTTGGCCACACTGCGCACAAGAAGCAGGGGTAAACCTTGTCTGGCTTGTTGATGGACAATCTGCTGTATCTCTCACCCCTAGTACAGCATCCCACCTATCACAGGTTCGCAGTCATTTTCATTGATTGAATGATTCAATGAGCAAATGAACAAGAAGTAATCTGCATAGAATGATAGAGGTGGTGTGATGGTGGAGTTTGGAAGTTGAGAAGAATGGAAAAGCTTTGAAACAATGGTGTGCACTCTGTAGTGTTAGTCATTCAGAAATGAACATGCACATTGTTTGTATGCAGTAAAATGCTGGGTTCTTTGGAATGTGTGAACTTATTGTCAAAAAATATATCCAGAAAGCAAACACTTACCACCACCTCTCCCTGCACCCCGTTATTTCGCACCATCATCTGGATCATTGTGGTGAATCCCTAATTGCCTTCCATGTTTCCACCCTCATCCCCAACAGGTGTCTTCTCAAAACAGCATTGAAACTGTTAAAACACAAGATAGATCAAGTCTCTCTGTGCTCAAAACCCTGCAGAGGTTCCCACTTTCACTCAAAATTGAAGCGAAATCCCTTCAACTGGCTTAAGAGAGTCTCCTGTAATTGTCCCACTCAACCTCATTGCCTGCTTCTCTCCTCGGGCTCCCCTTGCTCCAGCCACAGTGGTCTTCTCCCCGTTCTTCAAATCCCCCAGACGCAGCTCGCTTGCACTAGCTATTCCTTCCATGTGGAACATTCTTTATCCAGATATTTGCATATCCGTGCTTTGAGGAGAGCGAGATCTTAGATTTCTGGATGCTGGAAGGTCAACACTGTAATTAATGACACTGGGAGTGTTGGCAGTGAGTACATTGGGCCCAGGGCTGTGAGTGAAATGTGGAAATTTTCCATGAAGATGGGAGAGGAGTGGAGAGATGTATCAATAAACATAATAGAGACAGGCTTTGGCCCCAATAATTACTAATCAGATGGCCTATTTCAGATGTAACTGGCAGGTGTTTTAGGAATGCAGATTCCTGGGGCAGAATCTTCTAGGTTCTGATTCAGCAAGTTTGGAGTGGACTTCAGGAATGCCTGTGTTTGAAACTCTCTGTGTTGTGGCAATCACTTGTGCTGATAACATTGGTGAGGCCGGAGAGAGGGTGGTAGGAGTGTGGCAGGGACCTAGGAGAAGACACTCACAGAGCATGGAGCCAAAGAACGTGGAGATGACAGTGAGGAGCAAAGAGGATATAGACCCCGCTTTCCCCTTCTATTGTTCAGGAATGGCAGGAGGTGTACCCCAGGGGAGATGATAATAAAGTGGAATCAACATGGGAAAGGGAAGTTTCAGGATTTTGCAACCAGGAAGGAAATAGGTAGAGACAAAGGGGAGACCCACAGAGCCATCTTGCTCAGGACGCCTTGGCGGCAGCAGGGGAAAGCCAGATGGAGAGTAGAGAGGGTTGAGACTGAGGCACAGAGAAATTAGTTTATGTAAAGTGAAAGTGGGGACAGGACCACAGGGGTAAAGGGAGCATTGGTTTAGCGTACTGGTTAGTGACAGCAGGCTGGGATGATTGATTGCTCTGGGCTGAGTCTGGGTGCCGTGCTGTGAAGGCTGGTATGCGGGAGCCCGTGGAATCACCCCTCAGGGCCCAGATGGAGTGTAAAGAGAAACACCGGGGATGCTCTTCTGCCCTCCTGCCTTAGGTGCTGAAGTCTACTATGAACAGAAGTTCTACAGAGAGAATGGAGGGACAACGGAGGAGAGTAGGGGAAAGAGAGGTTAGTGAGGGTAGGTAAGGCTTAGTCCCAAAACATGTTTAATACCAAAAACTTATAAATCAGAAATGAGTTTTCATGCTGACACACAGCATTCAAATTTGGAGGCAAGAGGCCTAAAGGGCCAGGTCTTTC